ACAGTGGTGTCACCCCAGATGACTTGCCGGGTCCCTAGGCTCTGCTGTGCAAGGGAGAACCCAAGCCACACCAGGCAGTCTTGCAGAACTGGGGAGGCAAATGAGAATCTGGAGAAGCCAGGAAGCAGAGAACTTGGGGACCACAGTCTGTCCAGCTATGGTGAAGCCCCCAGGAGGTGCGGAGCATCCCGGTCAGGTCTCCAGCTGAGGAATGACAATCACCGGCACATGAGGAAATATCCAAGATGAGGGAAAATCAAAACAAAACAAAACAAAAAAATTAAGCAGGAAAATTCCTGAAGTCTACAGCAAGCGGGGAGTGGTTCACCTTCCACAGCCAAAGGGAAAAAAACCTTGTGGAGCGGTCAGGTGCCCCTAAAACTGCTCTGGCCCATTGACAAAAGCTTCAAAATCAGCAAACTGTTTGCAGGGAGCTTGCCTGCCTTCTCGACCAAAGCTAAAGAATATGTAAAAGACCATGAAAATAGGGGATGGCCTTTTGGCAAAGTGGGTAAAGCCACCATTTGTGATGGGCACCACATGGTGGAGCCAGCTGCTCCACTTCCGTTTAAGCTGCCAGCTGAGGGCCTGGAGAGCAGGTGAGTGCTTGGACCCTGGCACCCATGTCAGAGACCGGGGAAGTGCTGGACTCCACAGTGCCTGCTGCAGCCAACTGCGTAGTGAACCAGTAGGTGAAATATTTCTTTTTCTGTAACTCTTACAGGTAAGTCTTACATTAAAAAAAATTTAAGGTCACAGGATAATATAAAAGATAACACATAACACTACAAAATTCATATCCAATTTAAAAATTGTAAAAGCTCAGGAAAATTAAAACAAAAGAAGCCTCTCAGGAAAATGACAAAGTGAGAAAATTCAATCATGAAACAACACACAGAGCTGTTCTAAGGTACTTATTTTCTGTTCCTATTATAAATACTGTGTTCAACAAACTGTAGAAAATAATAAGCATATTAAGACATAACATATAAGAACAAAAATTTTTAGAAATGAACAATACATTGGGGCCCGGCACTGTGGCCTAGTGGCTAATGTCCTCACCTTAAACACGTCAGGATCCCATATGAACGCCAGTTCTGATCACGGCAGCCCTACTTCCCATCCAGCTCTGCCTGTGTCCCAGGTTTTTGTAACAGAAAGTTGGCGAGCACTATCTCCCACCTGCTCCTGGGACTCGACTTCACGCGGATATAGGTGGTCTCCAGTCCCCTGTAAGCCAGTGATGGCGCATACATTTTTTCCTGTCTTTTAATTTTGGCTAGGTTCTGTACCATGCCTTCAGGTTAACTGAACTATTTTTTTGCATTAATTGTCTGTTAATCTCATCCAATGAATTTTTTTTAAGATTTATTTATTTTTATTAGAAAGTCAGATACACAGAGAGGAGGAGAGAGGAAGATTTTCTGTCCTATGGTTCACTCCCCAAGTGGCCACAATGGAAGGTGCTGCGCGGATCCGAAGCCAGGAGCCAGGAACTTCCTGCAGGTCTCCCACACAGGTGCAGGGTCCCAAGGATTTGAGTCGTACCCTGACGCTGACCCTAACCCGACATACTATGGATTGAACACACAGAGCCATGTCCACACCATGTGGACACAGAGCCGATACTGCCCTCAAGACTCCTATAAAAAATTGCTTCAAAGCTCCTTTGAAGTTGCAATACTGCAGCAAAACCACAAGTAAACAACTACCTGTTGACCTGGCATTTAAAATATAGACTGAAAGGCCAACAGGCATTGTTGTTACAACAACCTGGGAATGAAGGAAGGGAGCTGATTTAGACTCATGATTTTGGAGGATTAGGGTCCAAGAACAGCATGCCCTTCTGGTTAGGCCAGCAGGTAATGCTGTAGCGTGGCAGTGGGGAGGGGACAGGGAAGTCCTGGGAGGCCACATGGCGAGGCTGGAAGCAAGAGAACTGCTGGGCTCACCAAGGCTCAAACAGCCAACCCTCCCTGAGCAGTACTTTCTCAGTACGACACCCCAGGGCCTAAAGACCTCTCACTCGGCCTGCCTCTTAGATACCATTATTAGATCAAGCTTCTGCCCTGTCAGCACCACTAGCTTGTGACACTGAAGACAAAACACATTAGTTTTGGGGCTCAAGTATTATTCAAGCAATATTGAGTATAGCAAAATTATTTTAAAAACTAGCCAAGGGCCTGGCCTGATGGCCTAGTGGCTAAAGTCCTTGCCTTGCAAGCACCAGGATCCCATATGGGTGCTGGTTTGTGTCCCGGCAGCTTTACTTCCCATCCAGCTCCCTGCTTATGGTCTGAGAAACAGTAAAGGACAGCACAAAGCCTTGGGACCCTGAACCCACATGGGAGACCCAGAAGAAGCTCCTGGCTCCTGGCTTCGGATTGGCTCAGTTCCAGCCATTGGGCCACTCGGGGAGTGAACCAACAGACAAAAAATCTCTTTCTCTCTGTAAAATCCACCTTTCCAATAAAAATAAATAGACCCTTTTTAAAAACTAGCCAAAATCTTTTCAAATTTTATGTGAAAATGTAAAATTACATATAAAACAGTGTATAAAGAAGAAGCCCTGGAGAAAACTACTAGTGTATATCATAATTACAAAAATTCAATGGTAAAAGAATTCTAAAAGCAGTCAGGGTTTAGGGAACAGGCAAAAAATATATATATACACATAATACTTATGGAAGAACAAAGATAAAATTAACAGCAGGCGTCTTACCAGAAACACAGGATCCAGGTGGTGTGGCACGGTGGCCTAGCCCATTGCTTGGGACTCCACATTCCACAGCAGAATGCCTGGTTTGAGTCCCAAGTACGCTGCATTTGCAAGGCAGCAGGTCATGGCCCAAGCACTTGGATTCCTGCCATCCCAGCGACCATCCAGATGGAGTTCCTAGCTCCAGCCTGGCCCAGCCTGTGTGTTGCAGGAATAGGGCGAGTAAATCAGTTGCTGGAAGATACATCGGTCTCTTACTTTCTGTCACTATGCCTTTCAAATAACAAATCTTTAAAAAGAAAAAGAAATGAAATGTCCAGGAGGCAGTGAAATAACCATACTCTAAACCTAGAATTTTATACCCGCAAGAAATCTTTCAAATGTAAATATTCAAAAAATCATTCTCAACAGACTGAACGTATACATCATCCTAAAAGAATTTTGGATTTTTATCTTCAAAGTATTAGTTAGGTTACCAATAGATTTTTTTTTAAGTGATAAGACTTAAAATGTCTCTCAGAAAAGACATTTTTGTGAGGAATGGAGCGGGCATAGTGGATCAGAGAGCCACGCTAAGAGCAGAAGAGAAAGTCGCTCAGAAAACAAAGGATGTTGGCCTCGGTGAGGGGAGAGGTGGCGGTCACAGAGAACAGTGGACGGAGCAGAGCCAGAGGGCAGGCCTCGCCGACGGCCTGGGAGGCACAGGGAGGAAGGCACAGCCGCGGCCCACGCCCAGCTCTCCCGCAGGATCCGCTGCACTTCCATGCAATTTCACCGACATGAATAACAACTTACACCATCAAAGTATGAACTCACACCTGCAAGTATGAACTCACATATTAAAACCGGGGAATTCATTCCACAAATAAAAAGAAAACAGCACTTTTTTGTAGGAGAAAAAGAATCAAGCATCAGCTTTGTTATCTGATACCTGCATGGAGCTCCATCTTAGATTTCCGACGCTTGCCATTCCTTCTGGAACACAGTAAAAGCGTGATTTCCATGAGCCACCTGGAGACATGCTGAACTCTCCCCATAGGAGCTTTTTCTAAAGGTCAATCAATAAAACGGAGTTTACCAGTGCCATGGCACGATAACCTAAGCCACCACATGAGGCATCAGCATTCCATATGAATGCCAGTTAGTGTCCACACTGCTCCACTTCCCTTCCAGCTCCCTGCTTGTGTCCTGGGAAAGGAGTGGAGGATGGCTGAAGCCCTTGAGCCCCTGTACCCACATGGGAGACCCTGAAGAAGCTCCTGGCTCCTAGCTTCAAACTGACTCAGTTCTGGCTGTATGGAATACCTCTCTGTGTCATTCCTCTGTTGTAACTCTGCCTCTCAAATAAAAACTAGTCTTAAAAAAAAAAGGGTCAAACTCAACAAAGCATTTAGAACAGCTGCACAGTTTTGGTAACCGACTTCTAGTTCGGCAGCCTTGCTTCCTATGCTGGTGACTTCACCGGCAGCTCTCAGTGAGGCTTTTGGGGGAAGACTGTAGTTCAACATGGATTTGCTAAGTCTTGATGCCCTGTGCTCAACACCTCTCATGAAAATCGCAAGTAACAGCCCTGTTGGGTGGCTGCTGTCCATCCCTGAAATGGTGACAAGCTGAAGCAGAGAGGCTTAGGTGTCCCCGATTATGATGCCACCGAACAGCATAGCCCCGGGGCTGAGCCCAGAAGCCCTGACCTCAGTCCCTGGGCCCTGCAGCAACCCTCCGACATTTCCTGTGTGTAGGACAGGGGGCCTAACACACTGAGGTTTTGAATGAATATATGCTTTAGGTGAAATAAATTCCTAATTTCTGCTTAAAAATTTGCAAAATCTTATAATTAAAACATTGTTTCAGTCTGCCTCAAAGACTTTTCGAAGCAAGTAACTTCACGAAAACGAGTACTGGAGTTTTCTTTAAGATAGGCTCATGCGTGGCCGTCTGTGTGACGGGACACTGATGAAGAACCCGCATCAAGAAGGGCCTGCTTCAACGACTACAGACACTGAGAGCCTGAAACTGGACAACGGGCCGGACACATCCAGGCGCACAGCAGACACATGACGCGCCAGGCATGCGACCCAGCAGCACGCCGGGGTGCGTGCCAGCACAGCTCAGCAGCGGGCCCACAGCTGCTCCTCCTGCTGAAGGAAGTGGCACCACATAGTACCACCACCAAGTGATCCTTGTTAGGATTGAACAAATCACAAAGTAAGTAAAATTTCAGGTTGACAAAGTCAGTTTAAAAGGCGATTTTTTTTTTCCAACAAAAGCCTAGAAATCAAAATTTCTCAGTAAAGTTCTTTTATTTGGGGTTCAACCTAAAATAGCTTATCCAGTCTGTCTTTGATAGAGTAACAAACTCAACGACTCCACAGATTGTAATAGAAAAGTACTGGATTTGCTTGTCTCCTGCTTGGGGCAATCTGCCCTAGATACCCAGAAGACTATTTCCAGGAAATGCACCGTCAGAACACTGCAGAGCTCAGAATACAGTCCCTGACTTCAACGTCTGTTCTTGTGCCATCACAACAGTCTCTTGTCTCCTGACTGTTCACACCACTGCAGAAGCCACAGCAGTGCAGGCGTTGCAGCATGCACACCTGGCTGGAGAAGGACTCGCTCCTCTGAACCCACAATTCCTCTGGCCTGGCAGAGCTGAGGCACGGCACCTGTGTTCCTCTTGCTGGCATCCTTCATGGCAAGCACTGGGATGAGCCTGGGGAGGCAGTCCAGCCATATGATGCAGTGGCTTTATGATTTAATTTTCCATAGCTAAGGAAAGAAAGTAAATTAGCTTTCAGACAAATGTGGGCTTCATAGGGACATTTTCATGACTGAAACAAGAACCCTTAAGCAGGAAAAAAAAAACCAAGGCAACTCTGCAAATAGCAACTACAAAACATCAAACAAAACAAAAACATCTGAGAGCAAAAGTGACACCCTGGCCATTATGTCCACGGCAGGCACAGGCCACTGCCACCACTGCGCCTGTCACTGGCCCGCAGGCTCATGGGAGCCTGGGGGATTGCACCAGTGGAGGCTCACACCAAGGCTGTGGGAGCAAGCCTGGAGATTTCTTTCCCCCAACCCCCACATCCCCACTGCCTTGGATCAAGCATGTGGTGTCCCGGTGGATCAGGCTTGGGAGACTTTGAATGGGCTTGGAACTTGAGTGATGGGGTAAGGTCCCAGGCCAGTACACATGCCAGGAGCTTGAGATCCTAGTGGGCATGCAGAGTTCCGGGCCAGCACAGCACCCCACCGGAAGATGGCTTCGGAAGACTGGGTTGGGGAATCCATGTGCACCCAGGTGCAGAGACTATGGATCACCGAGGGAAGGAAGTAAGAGGATGCACAGGAACAAGCTCCACTGTTGCAGGTGAGGAATGACTTCTAAGGGACTTCCATCAACAAGGCCATTGTACTTGCAGGTAAGCAAGGGGCTGAGTCCTAGCGGTTTGGAAGAGAGAAACTGGAAGACCTTTCTGGGTCAGACTAACGCACCAGGCCACGTGGGAAACCTGAGCTGGGCTAGTTAACATCAATCATCACTGACAACCACTCACTGGCACACACTAAAGCTAGGGTTAGGGGCCTACCTTGCAGGGTTAGATCAAAGTACCCACCAGTGAGAGTTGAAACGGGATAGGTAATGTTAGGCTGGGCCATGACATTAAACAGCACATGAGAGAACCAGGTCTGGGGGAAGACTCTGTGAGGAATATGTGGACCCACCCCTGTTCATTTCTGCTGGTTTGCTTAAGAGCTGGGGGTAGTTACAACTGAGCTAGGCATGGCCATGAACCCAATGACTATGGGTCCTGGGGCTGGGAAGAGGTTGGGCTGGTCTAGGTTGCAGCACCGACGGGCACACACAAGAATAGGTTATAAGACAGGCCAGGCAACAACATTTACCAGCTCATACAAAGGCCAGGACAGAGGGGGCAGACCATGCCAGGAAAAGGCCACTAGGCACATGTAAGATCTGGGTCTGGGAGTGGCTTTGTGGGGAAACTTGGGAAACTTCTGGTAGACCATAGCTCCTGCTGGTGAACATGTAATTCAGACTTCGGTGCTGGATAGATCAGGCAAGGTAACTCTACCCATTGGTAAGAGTGTGGGTTGGTTCTGGAGGTTTGCAGACGGGAAGGGCCACCAAATCTTTGCTCACTGGCATGTGCAGAAGCCAGGCTGAAGTGCAGGTCACGCTGAGCTAGGCTATCACATCTACTGGTTTGCATGAGCCAGGGATGGGAGCAGACTGGACAGGATTAGGCTGTAGCACCCACTAGCGAGAGTTGGGACTACGGGTGGGCCAGGATGCAGCATCCAATGGCAAAAGCCAAGACAGGGAATGGGCTATGCCAAGCTGGGTCAGAGCAACACTGGCATGTGCCAGAACCTGTGGCTAGGAATAGACCTGATTAGGGAATGCGAGAGCTGGAGTTGGGGCGGCGATCTGGACTGGACATGACTGCAGTGTCCCTCGGCATGGGTATGGACAGGGTCTGGGTTGTGCCAGACTGGACTAGATTCCAGCACCTACTGAGAGCCAGGGTGGGTACAGGACAGGCTGGGCAAGGTGTTGACACCCACTGAACCACACAAGAGCTGTGTCTGGGTATGGATCAGGTGTGGCTGGGCTGTAACACCCAACAGTAATAACCAGAATGGGTGTGGGCCAATTCGGAAAGACCACTGTTCCTGCCAGGACAGGAGATGGACTAAATCAGTCTGGACCAAAGACCCATTGGTGGGAGTAAGATCTGCCACTAGGAGGAGACCTGATATAGGAGCTTGGGGAACTTCTCTGTCAGGACTGCAAGTGAGGTCAAGAATCAAGGCTGGGATTAGCCCAGACCAAGCCAGGTTACAGTACCCACCAGCATACGTGTGGGTAAGGTCTAGGGGCAGGCCAGGCTGGCTAGTTCATAACGCCCACTGGCAAATATGAGACCAGGATAGGGTGTAGGACAGGCCAAGTTGGGCTGCAACACAGCCAGTTCACGTTGAAGCTAGGATTGGAGGCCGTCTAAACTGAGCTAGCCCACTGCACCCACCAGCATGAGCTGGAATTGGGGGCTAGCCAGGCCACATCAGGCTGCAGCACACACCAGTGAATGCCAAGATGAGGTAGGCCATGCCAGACTGGGCCACAGCACCAACCAGCACATATAGCACTCAGGAGGACAGCGGGGCTCCCCTGCTAGGCCACTGCTCCCACTGGTGAACATGAGAACTGGGACTGGGGGCAGACCAGGATGGGCAGGACTCCAACACCTGTTGGCCTGCAACGTGAACTGGGTTAAAGGGAAAGCCAAGCTGGGCTAACCAACAGTATCTACTGGTGCATGCGTGAGCCACAGTAAGTGCAGGCTGGTCAGGTTTTGCCATAGCATCAGCTCGCAAATGTTGGGACTGAGGGCAAGTCCTGTCAAGCTAGACTGCAGAGTGTAAGTTTCAGAACTGGGAGTGAGCCCAGTAGGGAAACTGTGGGCACCTCTTCGATGGGCTGCAACTCCTACTGGTTAGCATGAGAAACAGGGATGGGGGCAGGCATGGCTAGACAGGTGATGGCACCCACCAGCATGAGTGCGGGCTGGATAATGGGGTTGGTAGAGTTGAACCAGGCTCCAGTGCCCATTGATGTGTATGAGAGCTGAATGGGATATGGGATAGACTGGATCAATTTACTCCACATATCGGCAAGCACAGGAACCAGGGCTGGATGCAGGCCTGGTGGGGGGTATTGGGAGTCGCTCCAGCTGCAGTTCCTTCTTGCATGTATGAAGGCCGAGTGTGTAGTGGGCTGGATTGGGCTGGGCCACAACATCATTGGTTTACAGAAGACAGGGTTGAAGATAGAATTGATCCAGCAATTGCAACTACCAGTGTGTAAGGCTGAAATGGGTGACAGACTGAGGTAGACTCCATACTGGCAAACACACAGAAGAGTAAGTCTGGGATCACCTCAGATGAGGTTTCTTTGGGGATTCCCCCCAAGTAAACCATTGAACTCAGAATTCCCACCATGGAGAGAATCACAAGATCTGTGGACTGAATGTGGAGTGCATGTGTCAGAACTGGGCCTTCTCAGTAGCTAAGATAGAGCAGTGGATGGCATGCCCAGACGCATATGGAGGATATGGCAGGCCACTGGAGCCTACAGAGGACAGTGATACCACAGCAGAGGAAGGAGAGCAGAACAAATTGATCAACTCCCCCAGCCAAGCATTTACAGCAACTATCTGGGCGAATGGAGACTAAGGTGGACTATGTCAGCCAGTGGAAGGATTTCCTCATCCTTGGATTAGCGAAACCAGTAGCAGTTCAGAACTATCGAAACCACAGAAGCAGAACCCTCAGAACATGCTCCACATCAGGGACCCTGAGATGACAACGGATGGCCTTTCCACATCCCCGAGTACTGAGGGGGTTGGGAGGCTGGGTATGGCTTCTCCCTTTATCTCCTTTCATCCCCCACTCAAACAACTCAAAATCTGCATACCATATGACCCAGCAATAGCACTCCTAGGAATATATCCAAAACACCTGTTTCATGACAAACCAACATGCATCCCAATGTTCATAGCAGCACAATCAGTAATTGCAAAAACATGGAAGCAACCGAAATGCCCATCAGCAGAAGATTGGATAAGAAAGCTTTGGTTCATCTACTCCATGGAATACTACTCAGCTATTAAAAAAAACAAAATGCAGTTCTTTGTGGCTAAATGGGCCCAACTGGAAACTATAATGCTAAGGGAAATGAGCGAATCCCAAAAGGTTAGATACCACATGTTTGCCTTGATTTAATCTGTAATTTTTTTTTTTGTTTGGTTGTTTGTTATTTTTTGAACCTGTCATTGATACTGTCTCAACCCAGATGTTTTGAAGAATTGAACTTGCATTATTTTTAACATATTGTTTACTCAATACTATGTCAATTCCATAATGTTGTATATTGATGCTGAGGTTTTGTTGGGGCTTTTAACTGACCGGAACTTTACTCTGTTAGCTCTACCTTCAGACCAGAGAAGGTCTCCCCAAGAGGCCACTGAACTTATCTGGACAATAAGACACTGGACTTTATGCTAGGTATATGCTTGCAATGAAGGAATCTCAACTGAACTTGAACTGTGGTTATACAGCAAGGTGGAGGAATCCACTATGGGAGGAGGGGTGTGGGAGGGGTGGGGGGAATCCCCAGTGCCTATAAAATTGTATCACATAATACAATGTTAATAACAATAAAAAAAAAAGAAAGAAAAAGAAAAAGAAAAATTTGGAGGCAATGGTCTTTCCCAATTTCCCTTAATCCTCAACCCTTCTCATCCTGATTAACTATGTAAACATACCCAGAAAAAAAAAAAGACACCTGCTCTTCCCTGGCTGTCCTCCATTCTCCCCTACACACTTTGCTCCATTGCAGGCGGACCCTCACCTGGTCCAAGCTACTAAACTGACAGGACATCCAAGCCTTATGCTTTGTTCCATTCAGCAGTTCAGTCTGTCACCTGGTTACGTCACAGGCTGGGTAGCCTGCAGACCAGCAATGAGCCAGTCCCATCCCGCACCAGTGAGTCCCCAGTGAGTCCACACACAGCGAAGGGCACAGAAAGCAGGCACTGCTAAGACGAAGCTGCTACAGAAGGTCATTGTACTCACTCTTATGTTGAAGCCGAGAAGGTCACTGATGACCCCGGAGACGGCGGAGAGAATGACCACCCGCGTGATGTTGTAGATGAGAGGATTCATGGTCAGTCCATAGAGTCGGAATGGTGTGTCCAGCTCCTGGGAAAACACAGTGGACCACGGTGAGACACATGGTTTCGGTTGGTGACTTCCTGGTATTTTAAGTCTTGGGTAAGGACGAGCGTCTACAGCTCCCTTTGCACAGTACTTAAAGGCTACTCTCAAAAAAACTTCAAAAAAGAAGAACAAGGTACTTCTTTAAAAAAAAAAAAAAAAGTAAGATTCATTTATTTACTTAAAAGGCAGAGCAAGACAGATGGAGGGAGGGAGTTGGGACAGAGATGCTACACCTCCTGGCTTACACCCAAACGCCCACAACAGACGTGCAGGGGCCCACGCTCTCAGGCTCTGCTCAGCTGCCTTCCCAGGGCATCAACAGGAAGCTGCATCTCAAAGCAGCCAGGACTCACACTAGCATGCCAACAAGCAACAGCCAACTGGTCAGCTCTTTTCATCTACTTTTCCAATAACTAGGATTTTAGGATTTCTTTAAAATTTTTTTTAACTGAAAAGAGTTACAGGGCAGACAGGGAGAGAGACAGGGCTGTTTTCCAGTGGCTATAACAACAAAAGCTGGGCCAGGCCACAGCTAGGAACTTGAGCCAGGTCTCCGTCATGGGTGGCAGGGGCCTAAGCCCATGGGGCTTCTACTGCTGCTCTCCCAGCTACACCAGCAGGGAGCTGGATCAGAAAGGGAGCAGCCAGGACATGAACAGATGCCCAAATAGGATGCCAGCAACACAAGCAGCAGCTCTACCAGCTATGCCACAGTGCCTGCCCCTGGGATTCTATCCTTAGGCACATTCGAGTGAAAACCACCATATCAGCATTTGGACATCACAAAGTGTACGGCCTAGCCTTCACTCGGGTCCTTTACCAGACTTTATTGGTGGAATTTATTAAAAGCTTAAATTGCTTTCTCTACAGGGTAACCACAGCTGGAGCCTGGCTCCTCTTCAGAAAGACACTAGTGAGAGGCTTCAGGCCAAGACCACCACATTCCTCTTCCCCAGAAGCATGGCGGGTCAGCCGCAGGGCTGGAGCCAGCCAGCAGCTCAGCAAGCGTGGGGGACACTGCTCAGCGCAGCAGGGGAGCCCTGGGCCTGGGTGTCACTATGGTAGACAGCAGCAGCAGCTTTCTGGGCACAGGAGTGGCAAGCACGGCCATGAGGACACCAACACAGAGCCCCAACAACCGGACACCATGCCTGGCAGCAATTGGGTATGTCCATCTTGCTCCCCAGGCAGCCTCTGCATGCAGGGACAGTGGCGAGCCGGCCACGGTAACAGCCCCATGGACCAGCCCAGCCACCTTCTTAGAGTACTCACATCCACACAGACAGGGCCATCAGTAGTACCCCAAAGTGACAAAAACCTTGAAGAGTGCCTGCTACAAGCACAAGTCTGCTTCTGCCCAAGTAGTTTTTGGTCCTTGAGGGCCATCCCCAGGAACAAGTTGGGCAGACAGGCAGAAGAGGTGAGTCCCTCTGCTCCCGAGCCTGCACCAGATAGCCAGACTCCCTCTCCTCCAGGGCTGGCCCAGACAGCCGACTCCCTCTCCTATGGGGCCTGGACCAGATGGCCAGACTCCCACACCTCCGGTGCTGACCCAGACAGCAGACTCCCTCTCTTCCAGGGCCTGGACTGGACAGCCAGACTTCCTCTCCTCTGGGGCCTGGACCAGACAGCCAGCCCACTTTTCAGCCTCAACTTGCCTCGGGGGTTCCATCACTTCAACTCCACTCCAGTGCCATAGGCCACCTGGCCACCCAGGACACCACAGCCTGGCCATGGCTCCCTGGCCTCCTCCCGACCCCACCCCAGGGGCATCATCAACCATAATGGGTTTTCTCAGAGACAGCTGATTAAATGTAAATGTACTGAAAGTGCATGAGACAGTGCTTACTTTCAACAACTTGGTGGACAGCTTTAATACATTGTTTACTAGAGTGAGCTGTTCTTTCTTATTTGGCTTCTTTTCCATTTTAAGATATAAATTGATCTAAGGGAAAGAATAGAGATTAAGGTAAATGTTGGAGAATACAGATAAACTGCATAAAACAGGACAGATTCTGGGGGTCCATCTTTTCAAGTAAAACAATTTCTGAAATGCCAGTAGCATTTCCCCAGAGAACATGTGGCATGTACCCCAGTTCCCAGGCCTAATCAGTCTCCCCTCAGCAAAGGAAATATCGAGTGAGGAATAATAATGAAGCAACTGAAATACCAAAATAATGAAAAATCTTTAATAAAAGCCATAATATAATTAGCATATAAACACCTCTGATCCAAAAACTTTATCTCATTATCTAAGTGTTCCTCAAAATCCCTAATCTCTTCATTTGTGGATGATAGCTATTCATTTGCTTGTTTGAATTTTCAAGAGCTACAGAGAGACGGGGAAACAAAAAGACAGATCTATCCACTGGTTCACCCCTAGATGGCCACAGTGGCTGGGACTGAGCTGGGCTAAGCCAGGCTGAAGCCAGGAGCCCAGGACTCTGGCTGGGTCTCCCAGGTGAGTGTTAGGGGACTTAGCATTCTGGCTGCTCTTGGGTGCCGCTTAGGCACCTCAGCAGGGAACCAGATCAGAAGTGAGCAGCTGGGACACGAACCTGCACTCAAATGGGATGCGCAGGCATTAGCTTGACCAGCCCAACACACCATAAAGTTGGCCTCAAAGACATCTGTTTTTTTACTTATGGATTCCTCATGTTTTCTATTTTTTTTTTTCCTTTATAGAAATAATTTGCCACTATGATTCTAAGGCAAACACAATGACACAATGACCATACCCACTTTTCCCTAACCCTTGATCCTTCCTACTCTGGTTGACTTTGTAAACATTCTCTAAAATAAAATAAATTATAAGATGCTTGTAAAAATCACAAAACAAAACCAGCAAATTATATCAATTTTTGAGATTTAAAAATAGTTAAATGTAAAATTAAAAACAAGAATGTTTAAAACCTATCTTGCACTCCGACATATTTACAAGAAGCATTTCTCAAATGTGGTGCCTAGTAACACACCAGGAAACAAGTATCTTCCACAGGCTAGCTAACATATTTCATGACTGACACACAAGTTAAAAAGCTTATTTACTAGAAGTATTCTAAGAATAATACTTAATGTCAAATATGAGATTAAAAGGATATTCCACTGCAACCAATCAAAACACCTTTGTAGTTTACAGAGAACTTCAACCTCATCAGCTCTCAGTTCTCACACTGCTGGATGCAGCCGAGGTGGACATCACACCCATTTCACAGACGACACTAGTGTGGAGCAGCAGTGACTTGTCAAGTAGCGCCCCAACCCCAAACTCTCTGTCCACACCTCACAGGGCATGCATGACGCCCTCTCTAACTATGGCATCATACTCATGGGACCCACAAGCAATACCTGTTCAGTGAGTAAGATTGAAACATTGCTGTATTTCTTGTTGGTTTCTGACCCCAGCGAGGCCAGGCGCAATAAGAAAAGTAATAAAGCTGTTTCCCAGATGAGCAACTCCCAGTTATATGCATCATTCAGGAAAGTTTTATGTCCCTGGAGAACCTATGCAAAGGGGGAAAAAATAGTTCAGTCTTCTGTTTGTCTTAAAATCATGTGGTTACTCTCTTTTCAATTTTAACACATTTTCAGGAATCCAGAAGAGCTTTCACACTTACAAAGTACCATCTCTTTAATTAATCATAGATTTCTCCAACTTTTCTAATTTTCTCCTTTTCATGAAAGACAGCAACCATTTGGAAATAATATACAAACACAATATATGAAAAGTAAAGTAAGGCAGACATACTTCTAGCTACTTTAACCACCAGTGTGTCCACTTGTGACTACATGGAGACCATTCCTGGTACAGAGTATGACCTTTCGAGTAAGCTTCCTAAAACATAGTCCATCCCACTGCTATGACTACAAAATCCTAAGGTTCATTTCCTTTGTTGTTGTCACTTGGAGAAGCACAGAAAGAGAAAGAGGTTCCCTGTGTTGCTTCACCTCACAGATGCCTGCAGCAGCTGGCACGCTGGGCCAGGGCTAAGGCCAGGAGCAGGGACGGTGCCCAGGTCTCCCTCGAGTGCCAGGCACCCAGTTCCTATGCCAGCACTGCTGTGTCCCAGTGTTTGTATTAGGGGACCACTGGAGCCAAGGGCCACAGCAAATGACTGAACCCAGATACTTCCCAATGTGAGACACAGGTACCTTACCTAAAAGCCCCAAGAAACACTTCTTCACTCCACTTTAGGAACCAAGTCACAACAGTAGTAGCAGCAGCTACTAGTTACTGAGTGCCAAGTATTGTCAATATTTTTTATAAAGTTTTTGTTTCTTTAATTTCTCCTAGGGCCGGCTGAATGTTGAAATTTGGTTCAAGTCCTGGCTATTCCACTTTCCATCAAACTTCCTGCTGGTGGCCAGGGGAAGCAGGAGAGGACAGCCCATGTACTCAGGTCCCTGCAGCCATCTGGGAAACCTGGAAGAGGCTCCTGGCTTGACCTGGCCTAACCCAGGCTACCAAGACCATTTGGGGAGTGAATTAGCACATGAGAGGTATCTTTCTCTATCTCTCCCTCTCTGTCCCTATAACTCTGCCTTCCAAATAAATAAATCTTTAAATATATATGTGTGTGTGTGTGTATTACTGGGCAGGGGGGAATGAAAGGGAGGCAGCAAAGTGTGGCACAGCAAGCTAATCCTCCACCTGCAAGTGCGAGCATCCCTATAGGCTCTGGTTCATGTCTCAGCTGCTCCACTTCCAACCCAGCTCTCTGCTGTTGGACTGGGAAAATAGCAGAAGATGGCCCAAGTGCTTGGGACCCTGTACCCACCCAAGAGACCCATAAGAAACTCCTGGCTCCAGGCTTCAGATCTGTTCAGCTTTAGTCACTGCCACCACTTGGGAAGTAAACCAGCAGATGGAAGATCTTTTTCTCTGTCTCTCCTTCTCTCTGTAAAATCTGCCTTTCAAATAAAAATAAACAAATCTTAAAAAAAATGCTGCTTTAAAAGTAAAGAAATATAATCAAGCAAATCCAAGGTTAAATGCAAATGCAGGCACTCTGAAAGGCGGGAAGTCAGCAAGCAGCTGCCTTTCCCGCGCTCTTCCAACAAAGCCGTGTGGCATCCATCTCTACCCTCAGATAATCGCACTTCCCTAACAACTCTGACTTCTCGCAGCTCCGGTTTGTCACAGGCCACTCCAGCCACACTGACCTCTACCGATCTGATATTCAGTCTGCGATGCCACCACAGACACCTCAACATTTACCTCAACATTTTTAATTCTAAGCTTCTAAGACAGGACAAGTACAACTTAAGACTGGGTCACCCTTATCTATAACTGAGAGGAAGGAAGGAATAATCAGTAGCGGGACAGTGCCACCTTTTCAGAAGATGCTAATATGTGTTTCCCAGCAACAGATAATTCACAAACCGCAGCCAAGCCACGACAAAACCAAACACAAAGAAAAGCCCCAGATCAGCCAGAGAAAAAAAGAACATTACTTTTAAAAAGAGAAGCAGGAAGACTAATAAGTGACTTCTCAAAATATATGGCAGGAATCAAAAGATAAGAGACCCCTGCAAGGGCTGCAGTGGGAACCTAGGATGCTCTGGCCATCAAAAAACAATTCTTCAAAATGAAGGTGACAAAGGGACTGTTTCAACAAAGGAAAAACAATCACTAGGAGACTGGTACTGTAAGAAGTACCAGAAGAGTTATCAGCTAGGAGGAAAATTACCCCAGAGAACAAAATTACAGGAAAGAATAAAAAGTAATGGGAATGGTAAATATAAATGAATAACTGATTTTTAAAAGCAATAAAATTATATCTTATGGGTTTAAAACACATTTCAAGTTAAAATGAAGGGGAACAATCAATAAAAGGTAAAGGAGTAAATGAAAACATCAGTATAAGCGTCTTGGCTCTACTAAAAAAGTGACAAACTGATCTTTTTATTAGACTATAAATTAGGATACAGGCTGTAATCTCTATTACCAATAAAATAAGGGTAAAGGAATGTATAGTGACAGGAATATATGGAAGATTAAGAATATCTGGTGACAGGCCCGGCAGTGAGGCCTAGAGGCTAAAGTTCTTGCCTTGAATGCCCCGGGATCCCATATGGGCGCCGGTTCTACTCCTGGCAGCTCCACTTCTTGTCCATCTCCCTGCTTGTGGCCTGGGAAAGCAGTCAAGGACCGCCCAAAGCCTTGGGAACTTGCACCTGTGTGTGGGAGACCTGGAGGAAGTTCCTGGCTCCTGGCTTTGGATCAGCACAGCACCGGCCACTGCAGTCACTTGACGAGTGAATCATCGGACGGAAGATCTTCCTCTCTGTCTTTCCTCCTCTCTATATATCTGACTTTCCAATAAAAATAAATGTTTTTTTTTTAAAGGCTATCTGGTGAGGAAAAAGATGCCAACACAGGAGAGCAAAAGGAAAATTAGCAGATGGATGAGATACCAGATAATATTTGTAGTCACAGTGATCAAATCATGGATAAATGACCCAGACACTCCAAAACATTAAGACTGTGATGCTGGATTATGAAACAAGCAGCCCAAAAAAGGACACATTGATTATGGGAAACATCTGATATGAGGACAACAAAAACTCTAAGGAGATAAACAAGGGCAGAACACACAGAAATTAACCAAAAGATGGCAGGTGTGAACGAATATCAAAATAAGCAGAAACACTACAGACATAAAAGGTCATGAAAAACAAACAGCCTTGACACTGACAGACTAAAGGAGATGGACAAGACATGACAATTGAATGTAGAGGCCAGTTCTGAACCAGATCTTAAAACCTATGAAGGACACAAAAGTCAATCCATCAAGAAGACAGGGATTGTAAATCTAGGTATAACCACCCACACAACTCCAAGATAAAGAAAATGAGGGCAGGTACTGGCACAGAGGGAAAGATGCCCACATCTGTCAGCCAAAACTTGGTTCCTGTTTCCTGCTGATGCTGACTCTGGGAAGAAATACGATGGCTAAGGTGATTGGATTCTTTTTTTTTTAAGATTTTATTTATTTTTATTGCAAAGTCAAATATACAGAGAGGAAGATCTCCTATCGATGATTCATTCCCTAAGTGACCCCAATGGCCAGTGCTATGCCGATCCAAAGCCAGGAGCCAGGAACCTTCTCCAGGTCTCCCACACAGATGCAGGCTTTGGGCCGTCCTCTATTGCTTTCCCAGGCCACAAGCAGGGAGCTGGATGGGAAGCAGGGCTGCTGGGATTAGAACTGGCGCCCACATGGGATCCTGGTTTGTTCAAGGCAAGGACTTTAGTCATTAGGCCACCATGCTGGACCCAGATGATTGGATTCTTGACTGCAACAGTCAGGGCTGGGCCAGGCTTCACAAACTCCACCTGGGTCTTCCACATGAGTGGCCAGGACCCAAATTCTTGAAACACCCTCTGCTGTCTTCCCAGGCACCCACATCCCCACCTCCAGTTCCTGACTCAGCTTCCTGTGAACAGGGACCCTGGGGGCAGCAGCAGTGGTGGCTGGACCCGGTTCTCCTGGCCCTGGCCCAGCCCCAGTCTTTGTGGACTTCTGAGGAGTGAATCAGACTTGGGAGCCCTCTCTCACTCTCTCTCTGATTCTCAAATAGATAATACATTTTAAAACAACAGAATTTTGCTTTTCAAATAAACAGATCTTAAAAATAAATAAACAGAAGGACTAATCAAAAGGATACAGTCAAATGTTTCAAGGAGATCCCCAAATTTGGAGCAAATCTGGAACACTTCAGGCATCAAAACAAATACATTTTTATTTATTAGATAAAAAATAGGAACACATGATCCCACTGTAAGCCAATAAATGAACAAGTGAATGAATGGGAAGGAAAGGAAATGTGTCCTTTCTGAAGTGGCAACTAATAAATTACATGAGATAATGTAATTAAGAGATTCATTATTTTGCAGCTCTGATTTGATAGCTTCTATAATCAGAAACAACTAATTAAAATTTGAGTAATCTTAAGAATCTTAAGAACTTCAAAATTACCTTTAACAGAAATATTAAGAAGCATCCACAATAGCCAAAGAAACAGACACATTAAAAAAAAAAAAGCACGATGACAGTGTCACAATTTAAAACAGGAAGTGTGAATTTTAGAATAGTTTCTAGTTTTCATTAAAAGATCTGAAACTTTTACCTGGGCACAACAGATAAAAGCAATGGAAAGGGTCAGCAGGAAGACGGAGGACACGACCACATCAACTGAACGCTGGGGACCCCGTCTCTGTGGAAGGAGAGGCAGGTGTCACTGAGAGGCCAGCAGCTGCCCTCCAGTCCCCAGTGTGTGGTATGGCTTCGCGGCCAGTGGAAGCAAGGCTCGGGAGGCGTGCCTGACGGGATGCTGATGGGTCGTGAATACCATCAACTTCAAACGCTGAAATCCAGGCCTTTCCAGATTAAGAGGGGGCGACTGGTTCACTGACATTTCAGCTGAAACAGTTCCCAAAGTGTATTGAAAGGGGAAATATCTATCATCCCGTCCTATGAAGTTTACATTTTTCTTCTTCCTATGCTCTTCTCTGCTATCTCTATGCAGACAAAGTGTGGCTAATTTGGGGCTCCAGCCGCCTGGAGGCAGTGGATACCACCCATCCAACACCCAGCGTCGCACCCTCAGAGTAACTGCTGCTCACTCAGGCGGACAAGTTTCCTGTACACTTGTGCATATACTCAACTATCAATCAAATAAAACTCACCTTGAGGTAAGAACGCAGTGACAGCCATATTTTAATGTTCTCCACCTTTTTAAGTCTAAAATGAGGTATTTCATATTTCCTAGCTTTCCTGGCAGAAGTAATATGGCTGAAGAGTTTTGCAAATAAAAATCTCTAGAGGAGATTTAAAAGAGAGAGAAATTAAAATGAAATGTATGTATGTTCCTCCGGGTGAGTATTCATGTAACTAATATTTGAACTATATAAAAACATAAAAAGCATGAGATTCTCATCATCGACCACCAAGATTGGCAGTGGAAGAGATTTGAACCTCTCATCACCTCGTTGCTCCCAAAGCACATGAGTGAGCAGCGCTGTGACTCCCCAGACACACAGGCTAAAGTGCTGATGTATGCAGCAGAAAACGCCTACCCCCAAATTACACTGCCGTTCAAATCACCCTTCTCATGACAGCAGCAAAACACTAAGTCCTCAAGCAGCTTTCAAGAACTCTCCACGAAATTTCAAAAAAAGACACATTTCTCACGTGTCCACCTTTCTCAAAAGCAGCATCACTTACAGAGTTGGCACATTTGCAATGGGATCAGCAGTGGCAGAGTCACACTGAGGTCCAGAGGCTGCCCAGTCACCCAGGCTCACGCACTGGCTGCTTGCTTCTACACACAGGCCACAACACAGTCTTACGTCACAGCATGTAAGCCATAACTAGTCAATGACACGGAGTCAACAAATGCCCATTACCAGTTCCACTAACTAATCTTTTACTGTCCATATAAGCTTTTGGGAACATATTCAACCAAGAGAATAAATGCAGCTTGTGTATCATATACAAAAACAGACACCAGAAATTATACTTATTTTTCTACTGACCTGTTTATATGTTCTCTCTGCAACACACATCATGAAAAAAAACATCCATGTCAGACACAATCTTTCAAAAAAATTAATTATAGACAAAATGATGACAGGCGTAACAGGCGGTGCCCCACAGAACAGAGTCAAGACCTCTTCAGCTGAGATGGATTTCAGTTGATCAAAGCTCTTCTCATGAAAAAGCCGATGCACAAAAGGAAAAAATGCCAGCCCGACGGTGACCACGTTTCCCAGCATCTGATACCCTACTCCTTGTTGATATGCATTAACCTGGGAAGGCACAAGTTCCAGCATTACTGCAGAGCTAAGTGGAGTTACAAAAGAGCATTTTTGTAACTCCAACTAAAAGCACATTTTAAAAGAAAATAAAAAGGGCATACAAATTTATGACTTAGTAAAATCTGAGTTTAGATCAGATAAATAATATTTGTAGGATATAATTGAACAACTGATCATTCTTACAGAGACCATCTGTAACAAAAATGATATACCACAAGATTCTAACTACAAAATTATGGGCTGGCACTGTGGCTCCAGGATCCAAGCTGCCATCTGTAATAAAAGCAGCCCTAAGTGTCAACATTGCAAGTAAGTGCTGGTTTGTGTTCCAGCTGCCCCATTTCCAATCCAGCTTCCTGCTAATGCTCCTGCCACACATGGAAGATCAGGCTGGAGTGCCAGGCTCCGGCCTTCAGCCTCGTCCAATCCCAGCACTTGCAGTTAGACAGCAGGAGAACCAGCAGACCGAAGATTTCTCTATCTTCTTCTGTCCCCACATTTCTCTGAAACTCTGCCTTTCAAATATAGATTTTTAAAAATCACAGTAGTAAAATATATATACACATATATTTGTTCTTAAAGGCATTCATGTTGTTTTAATCACTACATAGGTTCTCATACAATAGTCCTTAATCACTAAGCAGTCACAATTTATTTAACCTTACCCTGCTCATGATGATGCCACTTATCTCCAACACAGACATATCCATCTTTTTACACTCATTCCCTTCCCAGATTATTGCACTGACTCGGTCAGAGGCAGGACTTGAATTCTGAAGCCAGAATAAGTGGTTCTGAGGAGAAACACAGTGTTACATCCACTTTGTCTTGCCTTCATTTGTTTCCTTGCCCTTAGTCAAGCTCCTAGGCCACATTCACCAGCTCTCAGTTCACCAATCTATTTTCCCTCACAGGGCTCATCAAAGCCGTAGGATATGCTGATTTCTAGGCCTTTTGTCCTTGCTGCACCGTGCAATTTTCTTACCTGGAAGAGGCTAAATATCTTCTAGGAGGAGGGACAGACCCATAATTCTAAGGTTGCACCCCTCTGTGAAGGTATGGAAGGGAACAAGGCCAGCACTGATGGGCTAGGAGGGAGGATTACTGCAGCAGGCTGCCAACAGCAGGGGCAGCAGGAAGTCAACGGAGAGGCGCTGGGAGGCCTCGCAACTCACGGAACTGCAGGGTTACTCCTCTCCCCTGACGAGGACACAGGCAGCACAGCAGAGTCACGCGGGGACAGGCAGCACCAGCCACCCGACTGCTGTCACATCATGTGGCAGCCTTTCGGCTCAGATCCCCATCCGAATGGTCTTTGACAACCACAAATCACACCAAGTTTGCCCTTTGAAATGAAAACCCTGATAAATCTGTATCTGGCAAATTAGTCATTACACGGTGCTTTTATGTCACATTTATGTCCTCTATAATCTTGTCCACGCCTCCAAATACAAGTTTCTACCAAAGCACCAAATGGAGCAGCTCATCCCTTCCTACCGCCATGCTTAGCATAATGTTTATGAGCATTTATTGATTTTCTTTATTGATTCATTGGTTTATCTAACACATATTGATTAAGCACCTATTGTGTAATGGCACTTTGAATACAATTAAAGAACAAGGTGTCCTTGCTATCTAGCAGCTTCCAGATTTCCTTACAACTAAAGCTACAATACACTCAGTGATGAGGAAAAAAAGACTGCTTTATAAGATACCAGTGGCCTTCAAATGGCTCAAGGAAAACATGCATTGTGGGAAAAAAAAAAGAAAAGAAAATGCATGGATTTCAAAAAGTTAATTCTGGGCCAAGCACAATAGCCTAGTGGCTAAAGTCCTTGCCTTGCACACACCAGGATCCCATATGGGTGCTGGTTCGTATCCCAGCTCCACTTCCCATCCAGCTCCCTGCTTGTGGCCTGGGAAAGCTGTAGAGGATGGTCCAAAAATCTCCTGGGATCCTGCACCCATATGGAAGACAGGAAAGGGGTCCAGGCTCCTGATTTCAAATCAGCTCAGTTCCAGCCACTGGGGTCATTTGGGGAGTGAATCATCGAATGGAAGACCCACCTCTATCTCTCCTCTCTGTGTATCTGGATTTCCAATAAAAATAAATAAATCTTTAATCACATTTTCATTAACTTTTCGAAGTATTCTAAAATAGGAAATGTTTCTTGCATGAAGTATTATCCAAGACAAGACCTGTCTGAAAAATACAAAGGAATTCAGAAGAAAAAGTCCACCCGGGCAAAGGAACCAGCATGTGTGTGTGCAGTTAGGAGAGGGAAGCCGAGACCTCACATTAGAGCCAAAGAAGAAACAGACGCAGATAATCCAGAAGGAAGAATAAGGACTTAAAGGGAGTGGCATGCTTCTGTTTGTATTTTAGATATACCACTCTGGCTTCAGTGAGAGGAAGGAGGGCAAGCCTCAAGAAGCCACTGTCATGTTTTGGATGAGAGCTGACGATGGCCTCCACCCTAAAAGGGAGACACGGGGGACAGATGTCAATACCCAGGCGGTGAACGTAAGACAGTACGAGGGCTTCTGATGGGTACAGGGAGCAGGGTCAACAGGAACTCCAAGGTCCTTGCTTGGTGCTAGCAATATGCTCAGACACATAGGGAATAAAGCTGGGAAAATGGACTGCCATCTGACTATTCGAGTTGACCCGACTCAGTTGTTCCTACCTGTAACTTACAATTACACTGGGCATCCCCAAAGTGCTAAGGAGGCCAAGATTACCATGATGCTATACATAAACTGTGGAATCTTCAGACTAAATATAAAGAACCTTAGAGGCCAGCACTGCAACACAAGTTTAATCACCACCTGCACTGCCAGCATGTCATACGGGCACTGGCTGGAGTCCCTGCTGCTCCAATCTCATATGCTCCTGGGAAAGCAGCACGAGTCCAAGTGCTTGGGCCCCTGCACCTATGCAAGACAGCAGGAGGAAACTTCTGACCCCTTGATTTGGCTTGGTTCAATCAAGGCCATTGCAACCACAGGGAGTAAACCAGCAGACAGAAGATCTCTCTCTTTCTATCTCCCATCCCATTAACTTTGATTTCCAAATAAAATATTTTTTAAAGAGCATTAAATTCTAACCTGACACGAAAATTGAAGATAGTAACATAAAACTGAAAAAAGTGAATATGTTGTTCCTGATTAGCTGTTTTAACTCTGCATATACGTAATGATTTTTTTCCATAAAATTATAAATTAAATGATGTTTTAGAATCAGGAAAAGTCATTAAGCAGACAAAAGTATACCCATTATCTACTACTATTTACAAGGTGATGTAGAAATACAGTAGAAAGAACCATTTCTAAATCAGTGTCACCAGCAATGGAATAATCTTTCTCAGGAAGCACAATTACTGCAGTATAGTACACATTCCTGCAGCGACCTTATTGGCTGTCTCACAATAAACCTGAGAAGCAGGAACTATTACCCCAAGACAGATGGTAATTTCTATAGATGTCAAATGAATTCCTGCATTGCCTACAAGGTTCAAATATCCTTCCAAGAAATCACTAATTCCTGGCTTTGCAATTTTACAATAATATAAACCTAAAGTTAAAAAACACAGCTTGATTTTTACATTTTTATACAAACTGTCATTTCCTGATAATTCAGTAACACTGTGGTTATAAAAATGTAATATGAAATGAATGTACAAATCCAACAACCTTACTCATAAAAAATGAACACTGAGAATCACACTAACTAACAAGAGGGGCCAGCATTGTGGAATAGTGGTTTAAATTGCTGCCTGCATCCATATGGGCACTAGTTTGAGTCTCAGGTACTCCATTTCTGACCCAGCTTCCTGCTAATCTCCTCAGAAAGTGACAGATGACCCAAGTGCGTGGGCCCGTGCACACATGGGAGACGCAGGGAAGCCTCTGCCTCCCGGTTTCCTTGACCCGGCCCTGGCCAGTGCAGCTATTTGGGGGAAGAACCTGCAGGTGAACTTCTGTATCTCTCTCTCCCTCTCTTTGTAACTCTGCCTTTCAAGTAGCTAAAAATAAGTCTTTAGGAAAAAATAATAGTGAGAAAAGGTATTAGGAAGAAAAATCAGGTTAGAGAAACTCAAAAGTATTTCTCCCAGAGTTCTAATCCCAAATGCTTGACTTCCAAACCCTATTTAATCTGCTTCCCTCAAAATTGAGGAGAATAATATTCACCCTATAGGATGATTGTAAATTCAAGTGACAGACATTGTGCCTGACATATTGTAAGTAGACAACAGATATTACCTACTGGGATAACAACTTTCACACACCTGCTGAAAAACATCCTCTTTCGGGTCACGTTTTGTCCCTAAGTGGAGAGTGTTCCCGTGGACGCCCTCACTGTCACTGGTGACAGAGGAGCGGCACTCTGGGCCGTGCAGCAAGTCGTCCCACAGCATGTCTTCCGTCTCTGAGTCATGGCGGGTGCTTTCTGAGTCTCTTCGTGACATGTTGAGGCTTCGGGAACAGCCATTCACACCGGATCTAGAACCCTTGGAAGGAAAATACAACCATCTTTCATTCATCTTTAAAAATAATAACATATGTAAAATAAAATGACAGCAGGTTATTTATGACAACTCTGGTGAACTTTTATAAGTTGATCACTGCATAGTCACATCACCATAAGGTTTCATATAATAATACATTTATTTTTATTTATATTTACTTGAAAGGCAGAGGGAGAGAAAGGCAGGGAAGCTGAAAGAGCTGCTAACTACTGGTTCATGCCACAGAAATCTACAACAGCATATACACACAGACAGCTCCTCCCGCTTTCTCGCTCTCTCTCCATATATAAATATATATACACACACACATAAATGTATAGCTCTTCAAATAATGGATAAGTCATATAAAAAAGAAAACCTCCTTCTGAGAATTTACTGTTAAGTCATAGGATTGCTCACCTAAGGTGTTCAAACCCACACTGCCACCTCTACTGTTCATCCTTGAATGATACGAATATTCTCATTAGCTTTTATAATGAGATTTACTGTTCACATCTGTAAGAGGTCCTGTCTCAAAACCCTGTCCGACTCCACTCATGTTAATCCCAGTTAAGTGGGATTCACTGTGAATCCCAATTACCACACTTAGTAATCTCTTTTCTGAGCATCACCTGTGATACTTTTAAAATTAAGGTCAAAGCAAAAAAGAATTTTTTCTCTCTCTCGGGGTGAATAACCATCTAAAAGGAGCAGCACAAAGAGACAGATCATGGAGGCAGGGGAAGCATTGGCAAGTATAAACACTACTTTAGGGCAACCTGTTACAAAATGAATGGCTGAAGTTATCACAGTCGAGAATACGCCTTGAATACACTACCTGGCTGAAGGCTGCTGACTCAAATTCTGATTCAGCGAGACTATCTGAATCCCGCACCATGTGACACCACCGTGTACTGGTTTTCTTTACCTGCCAAAATGAAACCACCAAATAACAGGAAAACATTGTCAAATGCCTTTTTATTCTTCAATGGCTTAGGAATTAATTCCTGTCGTTCCATAAACTTAAACAAAAATTACCTGAGAGTTGAGGTGCTTTGCAAGTATTGATTTTCTATTCTTAACTTCACACCCATTGTCACTGGAGGCCCCTTCCACGCTCCGACGCAGCAGGATCATCTGTGTCTGTGCTTCCACATCTTCCTCACTGGACAGATCATCTGAAACGCCATTACCCAAACGCCGGAAAGCCTCCTGCAGGGAAAACACCAGACAGCCCAAAATGCTCAGTGAACTGCTAGCTAAAAACAAAAACCGTGTCAAAGCTACCAAGCAGGAAAAGAAATCAAAACTAGACAAGCCTAAAGAGTACTTGACCTCAGTAAGAAAAAATATTAACAGCATAAATGACGAAGCAGTGAGACACAGTAGTTAAAAAAGTTTAGGCATAAGTCAGACTCTAAGCACGGATCACAGCTTGTCTACTTACTAGCTCTGTGACCTTGGGAAGCTTACTAAATTTCCCTGGGGCTCAGTTTCCTTATCTGAATAGAAACTAAGAGTAAAAGCACCTATCTCAGAAGGTTGTTAAAGACAAAGAAATCAGCAATACACAGACACCAGGTTACAGCAATGGCTCAACAGGTACTGAGCTACTGCTGGTCTGGCAAATAAGATTTCAAAACTATATGGTGAAAGTACACTGTCAGCTTGAATCATAGAGCAGACCGTCTCCGCCTAAAGCTAAGAAATGGCCCCGCAAGTCCTGACTCCACTGTCACTGCTTCCTGTGAACCCCCACAGCAGCCCACACTGACTGCCAGCCCCCTGCTAAGGCAGAATCAATAACCAAGAAATTTCAATATGCTCCAGTGTTCATGTGGCATTTGCTTTCTCGTATCCTGAGTTTTGCTCAGTCGTCAAGATCTGTTTACAAATCTGCCAGTATTCATTCATATTTCTAAGCAGAGTCTAAGTAAAAACAGGATTATCTTACTTGGGAAAGATGGCCCTTCTGATGCTCACCTTACGGCACTTTTCTCCATCTGAAGACTTTGCTTTCTCTCTGGTTTGCCACATTCTAAGCTCTGTTCGACACTGTCTCTTCTTAATCATGGGACAGAGACAACTCGAGTCATTGTCAGTTTCAGTTCCTTTATTAGATATTAATCTTACTCTTCTAATCCTAGTTTTAGAAAAGGGGAAAAAATTAATAACTGGATTTTTTTAAAAAAAAATTTGTTTCATGAAATCACTTTCTCCTGCTGAGGACAAAATAGTATTCTGAAATTAAGAAAATCCAGTAATCACATTTTTCAGGCGTTTGGCTTGCTAAAGGTGTAGACAGAAACAGTATCTGTTCGTAGAGACACACACAGAGAACATGTATCCGTTCTCCAAACACTCTGGTCAGCTCATGAAGCAGAAATGTGTGCCTCTCAGTGCTGCAACATATGCTGTATGCAGGGCACCATGCGCTCCACTTCTCCTTCCACACACTGCCAGCTGCTGACACCATTTAGACTATCTTCCCCTCTCCTGTCCAACTCCATAACTATTCCCCCTTCCTTCAAAGCCCAGCAACCTCCTTCTGACTTGCTGATTGTTCCAGAAAAGTCACTTCAAGTGCTGAGCTGCAGGACCTGCAGGCAGCACACAGTCGATGGTTCTCCCATTGCTGTGACTGCACCATCCCTGCTATCTCATCTTCCCAAATGGAAAAATCACTGAGAACAGGGGTGCGCCATGCCCAGGACAAAGAGCTCAAACATGTCAACTAAGGGGGCTGAGGTTAACTTCAGAAAAGCATGCACATTCTTCATCTTCAAACAATCTAAGACAGAATTATCAATACAGGACAAAATAACTTCATGGAGTCATAATAGTGCTGTCAGGACCTGCAAAACTCCAAATAAGGGGAGATTTGCCTATGAGCCATCTCCTAGCTCCCCCAAAGCCAACCAACCCCAAGTTCCCATGTCACACCCCAATTCTCAAGGAGTTATCAGTCTCACACTGAAGGACACAAATTCTTTAGACAGCCTCTTTCTCCCTGTTATCTGATGTGATGTAAACATTCACCCTTTCAGAACAGGTATGTATGTCTAATACATGGTCTAAAAAAAAAGTAAAAATCAAACAGAACGGGAGTCCAGATAAGTCTGAGTGGCAGCGTGGGTATCTGGATCCCCTAGCCACGCGGTAGCTGCTGGGAGTACCTGTGCCAGCCGAGACTTCATGTTGGGGATCCTAGCTCCCCATCCTCTGCTGCAAGGTTGGAAGGAGAGTCCTGTGCTTGCAGGCAGCCAGAGTGCCAACTGGCACCAGCCTTTGCCCACTGGCCACTCAGCAACAAGCTCTGGAGTCTTGGGACTATGGAATTACTGCCTAGGGACATCCATGGATAAGGCCACTGTACACATAGCTGAAGAATGAATCCTGGGGGACACCCAATAACAGGGCCACTTGTACTAGCAGGTAAGCAACAGGACTGAGATCTGGTGGTTTGGAAGGGAGAGAACTGAAGGTATTATGCATCAGACTGATGCACCAGCCCACATAGGAGCCCTGGGTTGGGTTTGTCAGCATAGAACATGGCTAACCACCACACACCAGCATACACCCAAGCTATGCCTGGGGCCCTGTCTGGCAGGGCTAGATCCCAGTAACTGACAATGAGTATCAGATCAGGGGATGGATCACATTAGACTGGGCCATGACACAATCAGCAGGCAAAAGAACCAGGTGCAGGACTGGATTCTGTAGGGGGATGTATGGGCCCAACCCTATGGAACTACAAGTTCCATTGATTAGCTTGAGAGTTGGGATGGTGATGGGCTGGGTGTGACCATGAAACTCACTGATACTGGAACACACCAGTACTGGGGCTGGGAACAAGTGGAGCAGATCCAGGCTGCAGCACCCACTTGAGCATCCTAAAACAAGGTGTGGGGCAGACCGGGCAGTGCCAGATCATAAGAACGGGATGGATAGGGCAGGACATGTTGGGTAAGGGTCAAGCACCTGTTGGCATGTGTGATATCTGGGTATGGGAATAACCCAAGCAGGGGAACTGGGAAACTCTCCTAGTGGGTCATAGTTCCCACTGATGAGCACATGGTCCAGGCCTGGGTATTGGGCAGGCTGGACAGGGTAATCAGCAAGTGTGCAAGTTGGTTTTGGAAAGGGACAGATCAGACAGGGCCAAGCAAACCACAGCCCATTGGCAAGTGCAGAAACCAGGAGGGAGTACAAGTCAAGCTAGGCTGTTATACCTTCTGGTTTGCATGAGCCAGGGATGAGAGCAAACTGAGCAGGGCCAGATTGCAGCACCTGCCAACAAGAGTTGGGACTGAGGGCTGGTTGGACCACGCCAGACTGCAGCATCCAAAAAGCAAAGATTAAGACAGGGGAGGCACTGTGTCAAGCTGGGTCAGAGCAACCACTGGCACGTGCAAGGATCTGTGGCTGGGATCAGGCATGATTGGGGAGCTAAGGAGACGCCCTGGCTGGGTTGTGGGTCCCAGTGATGAGTGCGTGGACTGGAGTAGAGGCTGCAGTCTGGTCTGGACATGGATGCAATCTCCCTCAGCACAAATGTTTTCTGGGTCTGTGGTGTGCAAGACTGGGTTAGACTCCAGCACCCACTGGTGCTCATGAGAACCAGGGTATGTGTAGGATGGTGCTCCTGCTGAGACTTATGTGAGTTGTGTCTGGGTGTGGACCAGGCTTGGCTGGGCTGAAACACCCAACAAGAACTGGAATGAGTGAGGGTCAGTCAGGAAAGGCCACTGTTCCTGCTATGACAAGAGGTGGACTAAGTAAGGCTGGCACAGGGACTCATCGGTGTATGTGAGATCTGGTATTGGGAGAGGTCCTGATGGAGGAGCTTGGCAACTCCTCTGTCAGGACAGAGTCCCTGCAGATGAGCACAAGAAGCAAGAAAGGGAGCAGCTCAGTTCAGACCAGGTTATGGTACCCAAGGACTTACCCTTGGCTCAGGTCTGGGGTAAGTCAGGTTGGGCCAGTTCATATTACCTGCTGGCAAATCAGAGAGCCAGAATGGTGTGTGGGTCATGCCAGGTAAGGCCGCAATAGCAGCCAGATCAGATTAGGGCTGGGACCGGGGACCAGCTTTGCTGGTTAGGCTGTAGTCCCCACCAGCATGAGTTGGAATTGGGGGTGGGCCTGGCTGGGCCAGGCTACAGCACCAACTGGTAAATGCCGAGATGAGGCAGGCCATACCAGACTTGACTGTAGTGCCCAATCAGCACATGTGAGACCCAGGGGAGAGTGGGCAAACCCAGAAGGGGGGCTGCATGGAGTTCCCCTGCTGAGCCACTATTCCCACTGGTGAGTGTAAGGGCTGGGACTGGGGCAGACCAGGCTGGGTAGGGCTACAACACCTGTTGGCCTGCACGTAAGCTGGATCAGGGACTTGGGAAGACTGTACTTATTGGTATATGCATCAGCCAGAGGGGGTGAGGGTTGGTTGGGCTTTGCCACAGCATCAGCTGGAAGATGCTGGCATGGGGGAGGGAAACTCTGTCTAGTCAAACTGCAGTACTACCTGGAGGGTGCAGTATCCAGGAGTGGGAGTGGGCCCAGTAGTGAAATAGTAGGCACCTCTCTCTTGGGCTGTCACTCCAACTAGTGAGCATGAGAACTAGGACTGGGACAGGCATGGCTGTACAGGGAGTGGTACCTGCTGGCATGTGTTTGGGCTGGATAGTGGGACTGATTGGGTTGAACTAGGCTTCAATGCCCATTGACATGTATGAGAGCTGAATGAATGTGGGACAGACTGGATCAGTCTGCTGTATATACTGGCAGGCACAGGAACCAGGGCAAGGGGTTGGGGGGTACCTGGAGGCTATAGTTCCCACTGGTTTGCATGAAGACAGAATTGTGGTGGGCAGTATTGGGCTGGACTGCAACACCTATTGGTTTATGTAGAAGACAAGGCTGGAGACAACTGACCCAGCAATTGCAACTACCAGTGTGTGCATAGGTTAATTTGGGCAACAGACTGTGCTGGACCCTGTACTAGCATTCACACACAAGAACCAGGTCTGGGATAACCTCAGATGAAATTTCTTTGGGAACCACCCCAACTGAACCATTGGACTCAGAACTCCAACCATGAAGAAAATTGCAGGTTTCATGGTCTGACTGGGCAATGCATGTGTCAAAGCTGAGTCTCCTCAGTGGCTTAGTGGAGCAATGGACAGCATATCCGGATGCACATGGAGAATATGGCAACATTGGAGCTTGAAGAGGACTCCTGGTACCATAACAGAGGACAGAACAACCCCAGCAAAGAGTTGGCAGTGAATACGTGGGCAAACGGAGACTCTAAGGTGGACTACGTTGACCAGTGGATTCTAGAGAGAATTTTTGCCATTGTGCTTGGAATGGCAATATCAGCAGCAATACAGAACTGCTGAACTATCAAAACCACTTGAGCAGGACCCTCAGAGCATGCCCCGCATCGAGGACCCTAGGATGGTTGGGAGGCTTCTCCCCTTTTCTCTCCCCAGTTACAGGAAGAAAAAAAAGAGAATGTGAAAACACTGGTCTCATCCACTTTCCTCTAGCCCTTGACCATTTGCATCCTAATCAAACATGTAAAAATAATCAAAAATAACATTTATACAATTTAAAAAACACCAACATCAAAAAAAATCAAACAAAATGAAACTTTTATGGTAGATTATTGGATTTGTAGGTAATGTGACAAGAAAGAAAAGTTTGCAACAATAAATCCTTTCCAGCCCTTAGAGATAACGTTCCTGATCCACTTACTCTTGCAGACACATGGCATTATAAACACAGGAACATAAAACAAAGTTGAAGTTCCAATGTAAGAAAGACTCTCACCTACTGCCAAAGAGAGACCGCCAAAACCCACCAATAACAGGTGCACATTCCACAGTTTCTAGTCCTCTGATTTTTTCAGAGGAGTTATTGTTTCCATTTTCTCGGTTTCCATCACCGTTTATAGTTTTTCGTAATTTTCTGCAAAAAAAATTCAATAATTTCACACTACTGTTTAACTGTTTCTGCCAAAATGTCCCTCCAGCAAAGAATATTGACAATAATGGTTAACTTCATATACTGAGAATAAATCATGTAAAAATACTTTTGACCTAAGGAACAAGACAGATTCCAAACCACAGAACTCTGCTATCATTTTATTTGCTCTAATTGCTGTCTACAAGCATTACTTGAAGGAAAATTGTCCTTATATAACCAAGTCTTTTTAAGCACACTCAATAACACTAGCAGAAGCAGCAATTTATTTAAATATGGTGTCTAGGGCTCAGAGCCATAGATCAACCGGTTAACCCTCTATCTGCCAGTGCCAGCATCCCATAAGGGCATTGGATCTAGTCACAGCTGGCTATTTGCAGCTACCTGCTATGTCCTGCAAAAACAGCAGATGACGGTTCAAATCCTGAGACCCATGCATCCATGTAGGAGACCCAGAACAAAAAATCTTAGCTCCTGGTCCTGGTTTCAGATTTGCTTAGTTCTGGACACTGCAGTCATTTGGGAAGTAAACCAGTGTATGCAAGATCTCTGTTCTTCTTCCTCTCCATAAACCTGCTTTCCTGATAGAAATAAGTAAATAAATCTTCAAATACAGATGACTACTTCTTTGCCTTTCTTAATCAGAGTAACATAAATGAGAAGCAACTGATGATTGTTTTCAATCCTACATTGTTAAAAAGTCATATCCTGCAAATATCAAAAAGAGACATGGTGTGGTATATAAGAATTCCCTAGAAAACATTACATTCTTCTTGGAGAAAAAAATGTTGTGAAGAAAACATAAAAAAAGCATGTTATCATTTTTTGCATCAAACAAAATCAGTAATTACTTAGTAGAACAAAATCCTAAAAAAGATAATACATTTGAATATAAATACAATAATCATAAACTCAATGTGTAAAAAAGACAAATTTTAGATCACTAAGAAATAAGTTCTCTTTTTAAAGATTTATTTGTTTTTATTGGAAATGCAGATTTACAGAGAGAAGAAGAGATAGAAAGATCTTCCACTCACTGGTTCATTCCCCAAATGGCCACAATAGTCAGAGCTGGGCTGATCCAAAGCCAAGAGCTTGTTCCAGGTCTCACACATGGGTGCAGGGGCCAAGGACCTGAGCCATCCTCTGCTGCTTTCCCAGGCCATTAGCAGAAAGCTGGATGGGAAGTGGCCAGCTGGGAATAGAACCACCATCCATATGAAATTCCAGCACTTGCAGGTAGAGAATTAGCCAACTGAGCCATCAAACAAGCCTCAGAAATCAATTCTTAAACATTTTTTAAAATTGTGAAAACTGGGGCCCGGCGCAGTGGCGCAAGTGGTTAAAGGTCCTCGCCTTGCACGCCCAGGATCCCATATGGGCGCCGGTTCTAATCCCGGCAGCCCCGCTTCCCTTCCAGCTCCCTGCCTGTGGCCTGGGAAAGCAGTCGAGGACGGCCCAAAGCTTTGGGAACCTGCACCCGCGTGGGAGACCCGGAAGAGGCTCCTGGCTTCGGATCGGCATAGTATCGGCCCGTTGCGCTCACTTGGGGAGTGAATCATCAGACGGAAGATCTTCCTCTCTGTTTCTCCTCTCTGTATATCCGCCTTTCCAATGAAAAAATAATAAAAATAAATCTTTAAAAAAAAAATTGTGAAAACTGGTAAAATCTTTGACAGCATTAAATTAAATCTACCTCAAAGATTCTTGTTTATATTTTTTAACCAAATTTTCATTAATACCGAACTTCAAACAGAATGCCTAAGACTAGAATTGGCGCCCATATGAGATGCCGACACTTATAGGCAGAGGAGCCAGCTGCACAAGTTTGTCTTATAAACAACTATACCCAATGACAAAATCCCACCAGGGACTGGTAATTCATAAGGCCTCTGAGCATCTGGAAAAAAAGTGAAAAATAAAGCTTTCAGTTTTAAAACAGAAAATAGTGATAAAATAGCAGAAAGTGAATCTTGTAACTGTTAGTAAAGGACTTGATTATTGTGATAATTCAGGGAATAAGAATAGGAGTGGGGAATGGGGAAGGAGAGGGCAGAACCCCTATACCAACAAAACTGCATCATGGTAAATAATAAGCATATTTAAATAGTTTTAAGATAAATTTGAATACATTTTAAAGCTCTATTTTTGAAAGGCCAAATTATATAAATGGAGGGAAAGGAAGAGGGAGAGAGAAAAAATCTTTCAGTTCACTCCCCAGATAGCCATAACAGAGTTGGGCCAAATCAAAGCACAGAGACAGAAGTTACACCCAGGTAGCCCACATAGGTGGCAGGGGACAAAGCAACTGGGCCATCTTCAGCAGCTTTCCCACATGCAATAACAGAGAACCGGATGAGAAGTAGAGCAGCCATGACTCAAACCATAGCCTAAATGGAATGGATGACAGCAACTGCAGGTTCCAAATTTAAAAACATTTAATCGAATATTTTATAGAGCTCTATATTACTTCTTTCAGAAAACACACACCTAACATGTGATTGTTCATCCTACCTTCTTCTCCGATTTCCGTTGTTTGATGATGGCCTTGCTATCTGAGTAGACACAATTTGACAGTGGACAGTTCCCATGAGTAACATAAGGCACAAGGGTCCAAGCACTTCACTTACATTCACAATAGGCATCATTAAATACAACACAATCGCGATAACTGAAAAGGACCACATGAGAGTTCATCTTTAAAATTAATTCTAGTAACTCTACAAATTGCTTCTATAAAAATCTGTCATTTAGGGGGAAAAATACATGAGGCAGACATCTGGACCTGCAGCTCAGATAGGAGCTAACTTGCCCCCATACTATCTTAGACAGCTAGACCTGAGTTCAACCAAGTGCAAGATCCTGACTCCAGCTTCTTACCCATGCAGACCCTGGCAGGCAGCAGGTAATGGTCCAAGAACTCGGATTCCTGCTACTCAGGAGACGGAGACTGGGTTCTGATCTTCTGACTTCAGCTTAATCCAGCTCTGACCACTGCAGGCATTTTGGGAGTGAATCAGTGAGATTTCTTTCTCTCTCTTCCTCTCCTCCTCTGTCTTCTCTCTCATTCATTCATTCTCTCTCTCTCTCTGCCTTTCAAGTAAAAGTGAAACTAATTTATTTAAAGAACAACAGAGAAGAATCAGCCTGATAACACGACAATTTGGGTTTTCTATAAGGATTCCACCACAAAAACACTGGATGCTGTTTAAGATAAACACTTTCCAGTGTTGTTCTACTCAGAGCAGTTTTTTTCCCAGGCCCAACTAGCAACTGGCAAAGCTGAAATCTGAACCCAGGAATCAGGCTCCAGATCCTCCCACTTAGCTACTGTGCTAAACTGCCTATTTGTATATGTATATGAAGTGTTCAAAATAATAAATGATGAAAGAAATGCACAAATGTTCAAAATTATCCCAAAAAGTTTAAACAACAAGTTTACAGACCATGCTGACTTGTGCACATGGATACACATATGCCACTAGGAAGCAAACATCCTAACGCTCAGGGTTTTTGTGTTTCACTCGCCCCGACAGCCAGATCGGTACCTGGCACACAGTGGGCACTGAGTAATTGTTGAATAAGTGACTGAAATGCTACCAAAGTGAACTCCACAACAAAGCAAAAGAACACTGCCCCACAGTCACACAGGGTTTATGCTAGAAACTGAAAGATACCTTAAAAGCAGATCTATCTCCGCATCGAGAAGAATATTTGGCACAGACACAGGAGGCTGAAGTAGTTAAAATCTAAGAGAAGCACTGAAAAACTACTAGAATTTATGAGAATTAAGCACTAAAAAAAACTATTACTAATTAATAAAGTTGCATTAGTTCACTTTCTACTACTACAACAAAATACCTAAGGATGCATAAATTATAAAGAAAAAGTTTGGAGGCCTGCATTGCAGCTACCAGCATCCATCTCATATGGGTACTAGTTCACATTCCAGCTATTCCACTTCCTATCCTATCCCTGATGGGGATAGGATAAAACAGAAGCAAATGGCTTAAATATCTGTACTCACATGGGAGATGCAGATGAAGCCCCCGGCTCCTAGTTCCAGCCTGGCCAAGGGTTAACCTAACTGTAGGCCCCAGTCTCCCAAGGATTAACTCCACAGCACAGCTTGTTTCTCAAGGGTGTAACAGGAAGGGCAATCATGGCCTGATACATTTAGCCTGTGGCTCGACTGCAATTTCCCTCCTTCCTGCTTCCCATTGTTGCATGTCCTTAGGGGAGCTTAGGTGTGGCTTAACCATTGGGAGGATCCTGGGAGGGGCCAAGCAGACGATAAAAGATGCAGCTTGACTTCAAATAAACGGCATTCTCCTCACAAGAATGACCCACTGTGTCTGTGTGTTGTCTGTCTTGTCTGTCTCATAACCCTAGTCCCTCTGCTCGACTCAGGGCTCGGGGTACGTGGTGATGCGGGCGTTGCCAACACCTCCATCCACTGGCTCACTCCGCAAATGGCTGTAATGACTGCACTGATTCGAAGCCAGAAGCCAGGAGCTAAGCGCCTCTTTCAGAGCACCCACCCAGGTACAAGATCCCTAGGACATGGGCTACCCTCCACTGCTTTCCTAGGACATAAACAAGGAGCTAGATAGGACATGAACCACTGCGCATACGGGAGGCCGACACTTGAAGGCTGAGCATTAGCCAGTTGAACTATGGCACTGGTCCCAATAAACCTCTTTCAATTCTATTTTTCCATAAAGATGTTATTAAAATATTTATAATATACTATTTATTTGAAAGGTAGAGTTTTTTATATATAGAGGGAGAGGCAAAGAGAGAGAAATCTATCTGTTCGCCCACTCCCTCCAATGGTATAATGTCCGGGACCAGGCCAAAGCCAGGAGTCTACAGCCTGGAGAGTCATCAGGTCTCCCACCAGGATGGCAGAGGCCCAAGCATCTGAGTCATCTGCTGCTGCTTTCCCAGACACGTCAGCAGGGAGCTGGAGTAGAAGTGGAGCAGCCAGGACTCGCAAAATGCCAGTACTGCAGGTGGCTGTTTTACCTACAGCGCCAGATCCCATAATTTTAAACAAATAATAATAACAACAATAATTGGCCTAGAGTTTAAAAAAAATCACTGAGAATTTGTTTATCTTAATCCAACCTTCTTATTTTTCTCATTTCATGTCTCCTTTCACATGTGTTGCCACAGTATGCACTAACCACATTATGAAAGAGCAGTAAAGAGAATATTCTGGGTCCCTACACATAGTGAGAAGAAAAAAACAAAACAAAACAATATCAAGTAGTAATGTACAAGGCAGATTTTTCAAACCAACTCCTGTTAGACAGTCTCTCCGTGCAGTACTATTTAGAGTGTTTAGCTGCTTCAGGAAAGCTACAGTTGAGCTGAGGTCCTCAAGATGAGAACAAGCCAATCAGTTTAACCTTTAACAACGATCAGAGGAAAAGCAAAGCTCTGTGTGCAGACCGGAGATGACGTCTGAGAGGGCAGGGAACAGACTTTGAAGGGATTATAAATCAGTTTATAGCAGGAAAACGACATGGTATGGCTTTTGTTTTCAAAAGGCTTCTTAATTGCTGTGAAAAGACCATTTAGTGGAAAAAAGGCTCAGAGAAGACATTTTGTAGTGGTCCAGCAGAGGGATATTAGTGCCACAGACTGCAACGGGGGCAGCAGAAACCAAGACTGACAGATCTTAGAGTCAGAACTTATAGACTCACTGACAGATCAAATGTGAGAACTGGTGGTAGGATAGGTTAGGAATACAAAACTTTTCACTTGAAAACTGGGTGATTAAAGGTATCATTTGAAAATGTAAAGAACAAATTGATTAACACCCATTCCACAACCCGACACCCGAAAGAAAACACAAGAGTTCCACTTTTAAAACATGATTAAGTCCAAACAATCAATTAACCCTCTATATAAAAATGTCAAGAAGGCAGCTGGACTTAAGTCTGAGATGAGCGGAGATTTGGCCTAGAGGTATAAACTACGCAATCACCAGTGCATCAATTATATTTAAGCAATGGACCTTGATGAGAATACCCAAAGGACAGACAAGAACACGGGATCCAACTTGGAAGTAATCTAAAATTGAGAGGTGATGCAGAAGAGAAGACAGCCAGAGGCAAGTGCAAAGAAATTCAAGTGAGGAGAGAAGTTACATAGCACATTTGTTCTCTTTAAGCAAACATTTTTAACATGATTCCCAAATGATATGTCCTCAATCTTTGTATTTTAAACCATGATTGAATAAGTCAATTTAAGAACAGTAGGTCTCCATCATCTAACTCCCAAAACAGAAACAGACAAAAACCCACAGTCTTAGCTTATTCCAGCTCTTCCAGTTACCTTGCATGAGGTAAAGCAGTAGCAGCCAAACAAAAATTCTTACAGAGGTAACCTGAATCCACCAGTTGCTGAACAATGGGAAAAATACAACTCGAACAAGCCCCTTCCGAGTCAAAGAGGTCCATGGAATCTCAGGTTTGGCTTTGGCAAAAGTGGAGCCTTTAAAAATACAGTAAGACAAAATATTAACCATTTATAACACTTTACTCATATCCAACTGCCTTATCACATTAAAGACAAACGACAACAAAAACCGACACATATAACCTGTTTGGTTACAAAGAAAGCTTAGCTGTTAGGTAAATTTAAGGACTCCTTGCCCCAGTCCTAAGACAGTGAGCTAATCCAAGGCCCACTTGAATGTTGAACAATATATCTCTCCTAATTACCCAACGGCAAGCTTCCTAGTTGCTCCCTCTTTCACTTTCATGAAAGTCATGTCACCCTCAGAGTCACCACACAAGCGGAGGTGAAAAACACTAGCTCCCAAGCAATGAAGGAAAAATGCTGTTACGCTGGGAAATTAAAGTGCACCAAAAATACAGGCATATTACTTAAAAATGATCTTTAGTAGGCACAATGAAATAATATGATAGTTTGCCTAAAAAAACAAATCAGTTTTAGAACTTACCTCTGATTAAATCAACATCGATCAAGTCTGGTTTTATGTGACCCATCTTTTTTGGTTTGTTTTTGAAACCCTAGAACAAAGTCGAACAAAAACAAAACCAGAAGTAAGTGAGGGAAAAAATCTTTTAACATATAAAAGATAAACTTATATTTCTTTTATTCACATTTGACATCCTTTTACTAGGAATTTAAAATAATCCTAAGGCTCCTTACCTGGTAACCATGGCAGAGGACGGAGGACAGAACAAATTGATCAGCTACCCCAGCCAAGTGCTGGCAGTGAAGATCTGGGCAGACAGAGACACTAAGGTGGACTATAACAGCCAGTGGATTTGGGAGATTTCATTGTGATTGGAGTGGTGGGTTCGCCAGCAATTCAGGACTGCTGAACTATCAAAACCTCTTGAGAAATTCATGGTATTGTAAATTTTTCTTCCTGTTGTTGATTTTGTATTGTGGCTTTTCATTTAAGAGGGATGTGAGGTGACTGTGTAATAGAGACCATCATGTCCAGATGTGAGGATGCAATTCAGTGTGCATCTCTACTTCCAGATCAAAGATGGACTACTAATGAAACTATTAGCTATATCTTGACAATGGGAGGCTGGACTCTTTGCCATTGTCCATGCCCGCAATGATGGACATGTGACTGTTTATGAAGAGCTATGCCTTAGGAATATAGCGGAATTGGTGGGGGCGGAGGAGATTTGGGGAGGGAGCAGGAGAAATAATAAATAAATAAATAGAAATAAAATAAAATAATATAATCCTAAGGCTCCTTAAGGGAACTGGTCATTAACATTTATTTTATTTTCACTTTTAGGCTCACTAATTAATGCATGCATATACTTTATCACTTTCCTTAAGTTTTTTTTTAATAATAACAGTTACTATTATTATTATTGGAAAGGCAGAGTTACAAGAAAGAACAAGAGATCTTCCATCCACTGGTTCATTCTTCAAATGGCCACAACATCTGGTTCTGAGTGAGAAACTTCATCCAGATCTCCTATATAGATGCAGGGGCTCAAGTACCTGGGCCATACTCCTCTGCTTTCTCAGGCACATTAGCATGGGGCAGCTGAGACTGGAACAAGAACCCATGCGGGCTGACAGCATTGCAGGCAGTGGCTTTACCCACTCTGAAACAATGTCAGACCTGTCCAGACATCTAAATTACACATCAAAAATACTTATCTTCACAAAAGTTACACTGATTTTGTATACTAAGTATCAGTATTTATACTATGAACATTATGAAATACTGCTCCTTGTAAGCTACATTTTATATTCTACCTATCCGGAGATTAATCACAATATTTATAATTATCTAAACTTAAGTAAATAACATATAATTATTCAAATTTGAGTAAATGCCAGAATTTGCTTTAAAGATATTCCCGGAAGAAATACCACTTGGTGAGCCTGAAGTGATGGCTCAGTGGCTAAATCCTCACTTTGTAAGCACCAGGATCCCAGATGAGCACTAGTTCAGTCCTGATTGCTCCACTTCCTATCCAGCTCCCTGGCCTAAAGTAGAGGATGGCCCAAGGCCTTGACACCAAGCTCCTGCGTGGGAGACCTGGAAGAAGCTTCTGGCTTCTGGCTTCAGATTGGCCCAGCTGTGGCTGTTGCAGCCACTTGAGGAGTGAACCAGCAGATGGAAGATCTTTCTGTCTCTCATTCTCTCTGTAAATCTGCCTTTCCAATAAAAATTTAAAAAGAAATATCACATGGTACCCTATAAATCAATGTTTACAATGGATTTTTTAAATTACCAACAAGTCCCCCTCTCAGAATTCTCTTTGCTATTCCAACTGAACCAGTGGCTCCCTGGGTCTTGTGCACATTTGAAATACAACTGTCCCAACTAAATAAGCTTCAAGAGGAGTAAGCTTGCCTGTAGTTAGGAACTCCCCCCCACCCCCGCCACTTTCTTTTTTAAAGATTTACCTATTTGTATTTGAAACACAGATTTACAGAGGACAGACAGCAGGAAAGCATTTCCATCTTCGGGTGCACTCAAATGGCCACAATGATCAGAGCTAAGCTAGTCCAAAGCCAGGAACGAGGAGTTCTCCTAGGTGTCCCATGTGGGAGCAGGGTCCCAAAGATTTGGGTCATGCTCTCCCAAGCTGTAAGCAGGGAGCTGGATCGGAAGTGGAGCAGCTGAGGCATGAACCAGTGCCCACACAAGATGCTGGTGCTACAGGTGGAGGATGAGCCTACAGTTTAGACCCCTTTGAAAACACCTGTACCATGTATCTAAGTGCTTGGATTTGAGTCCAAGCTATACGCACAATGCCAGTTTCCTGCTGATGACTCTGGGAAGCATCAATCTGATCCTCTGCCATCTATATGTGAGACCTGGAATGAGTTCCCAGTTCTTGGGCACGGCGGCGTAGCCTAGAGGCTAAAGTCCTCACCTTGAACGAGCCAGGATCCCAAATGGGCGACAGTTCTAATCCCGGCTCCTCCACTTCCCATCCAGCTCCCTGCTTGTGGCCTGGGAAAGCAGTCGAGGACAGCCCAAAGCCTTGGGACCTTGCATCTGTGTGGGACACCCGGAAGAAGTTACTGGTTCCTGGCTTTGGATTGGCATAGCATCGGCCATTGCACTCACTTGGGGAATGAATCATTGGACGGAAGATCTTCCTCTCTGTCTCTCCTCCTCTCTGTATATCTGACTTTCCAATAAATAAATAAATCTTTAAAAAAAAAAAAAAAAGAGTTCCCAGTTCTTGGATTGAGCCTGGCCCAGCCTTTGCTGTGAACCAGCAAACAATCAACCAATCTTAACCTCTCTCACTAATAAACAGGACAGAGGGTCAGTTGGAATCTCAGCTGCTCCACTTCCAATTCAGCTTCTTGCTCATGTGCCTGAGAAAGCAGAATGTGGTCTAAGCACTTGGGCCTCTTCCAGCCATGTGGGAGACCAGGACTTAGTACCTGGCTCCTGGGTTTGACCAGGCCCAGATTTGGCTGTTATTGCCATCTGGAGTTAAAAATAAAGACCTCGATCTCTCTCACTGTGTCTTTCAAATAATTTAAATCTATTCTAATTTAAAAAATGGTTAATAACATCTTAAGATTTTTCAAAGTTGGGCATGAAATATACAAAGATTTTAAGAAAAACTCTTGTGAGCCAGAATTGTGGCACCACAGGTCAAGCCACTGTCTGCAGTGCCAGCATCCCACAAAGGTCCCAGTTCATGTACCAGCTGCCCTACTTCCCCTCCAGCTCCCTGTTAAGACCCAGCAGAAGCAGTCAAGGCTGGCCCAAGCTGTGGACCCCTGACACCCATGTATGAGGTGCATATGAAGGTCTTGGCTGCTGATGTCTCCTCAGCCCACCTTGGCCATGGTAGTCACCTGGAGTGTGATCCAGCAAATGGAAGATATCTCTTACTCCCTCACGCTCTGCCTCTGTCTCTCCTTTTCTCTCACAGATGAGGAGACCCAGAAACAAGAGACACTATGGCAAGAAACTAAAGAAGGGAAGGACTAAAGCACAGATTGTTAATGAAAAGGGCTCGAGGTATGGTGGAAAAGGTAAACTGGAGAAGCAGACAGAAGTCCTATCATGAACATTTTCATTCTTCTAGGAGTAAAATTTTATTTGTACAATTTTATTAGGAATACCAGGAAGGCAGAGGACAGTTTTAAATATTAGAATCTGTATTAAAACAAAAATAAAGGTCCAGTCTGGGATCACCTCGGGCAAGATTTCTTTGGGGATTTCCCCCCAAGTAAACTGTTAAACTCTGAACTCCAACCAGGGGGAGAATCGCAGGATCTGTGGTCTGACCATGTAGTGCACGTATCAGAACTGGACCTACTCAATGGCTAAGATGGAGCAGTAGATGGCATGCTTAGATGCACATGGAGGATATGGCAGTCCATTGGGGCCTACAAATGACATCCGGTATCACAGCAGAGGAAGGAGGGCAGAAAAAGTTGATCAACTACCCCAGTCAAGATTTGACAGCAAATATCTGGGCAAATGGAGACTCTAAGATGGACTATGTCAGTCAACAGATCTTGGAAGGATTTTCTCATCCTTGGATTGGCAAGACTGACAACATTTCAGAACTATCAAAACCAGAGAAGCAAAACCCTCAGAGCATGCTGCACATCAGGGATCCTGGGATGACATCAAGTGGACCGTTCCCCATCCGCATGTGCTAAGGTCTTTGGGAGGCTGGATGCGGCTTCTCCCCTTACCTCCCCACTTTTCTAAGACATAGAAAGAAGAAAAAGAAAACTCAGAAACAATGGTCTTTTCCAATTTCCCCTAATCCTGAACTCTTCTCATCCTGATCAACTATATAAACATCATCAAAAATTAAAAAAAAAATGTTTAAAATCCTGGAGCACTGTGGAGAATAAATGATGGATAACATTAGCTAAAAAGCCTACTGCAGCAATCAGGCCCATGGCCTGGTGGATCAGATGTTAGGTTAGGATCCCCACATCCCATAGCTGGGTACCAAGGTTGGATAGACACCTGAGGCTCCTGATTCTAGCTTTTCCAAAGCACACACTGGGAGGAGGCAAAGGCATGTGGGCATCTGGGGAGTGAAACCACAGATCATAGGGGGATATTTGAGGCTTTCCAAATTATACCATCTCCATTGCAATCAGGACACAGGCATTGATGATAAAGATGTAAATCACCTGCCCACCAACAGTAGTTTGCCAACCAGATAAAAACAGACAACAGTTCAGATCAGGTAACTAGAAACATGAATAACAAAAAGCACTCATACTCAAAAGTACTTAGTAGACAGAATCCAGAAGTACCAGTAACCGAAAAGCGTGTTTCTAGTGTAAAGGTGATGCCCCATACTGGGATAGGTCTCTGGCCTAGTGGTTAACACATCCCTTGGAATGTCCACATCCTGGATCAGAGTGCCTAGGCTCAGTCATGGCTCCACTCCTAATGCCAGCCTCCTGAAAATGTGCACATCGGCAGGCAGTTGACCATGCTTAAGTTCTTGAGTCCCTACCATGCACTCTGGAGAGCTGAACTAAATTCCCAACCCCCTGCTCCGGTCCTGCTCCTGTGGGC